AAATAAAAAATTTATATCTTTATGTTTGAAGCCTGAAATGTGGCAAAAGGTTGAAAAGTTCAAGGGGGCCGAATACTTTCGCAAGGCACTGTAGTTTTCTCTAAGGTACCATATGTTGGACAAACTATAACATGCAATCAATCAGCAATAAATGAGCCTATAAAAATGCTGTTATCAAAGAGGTCTTAAGTACATTGTTAAGAAGGTCATATTTAGTAAGATTATGAAGTAAGACTGGTGAAGAATTAGGACAGTAACTATTTTTTTTATTTATATTTTACGTGTCCATAAGACCATTAACAGTGTACAGAATAGAGCAGAGGTTATAAAATATGGGAACTGTGTTTCATGCCATTACAACAAATGTCGATTAACCTTAGAATACCAATCCACAAAAATAAAACTACTTGCTGTGCTCAGCCAGTCATTGTTCAAGATCAATAAGGATAAAAATGACAAAAACAATAAAAAACAATCTTACCTTCTTATTATAGGAACAGACTCTTTTGTCTTACTTATGACCTGTCAGATTGAAAAGATTTTTCAGTTAAGTTCCCAGAGTTAACTTATTTAATTTATATTAAATAAATATTTTTTTCTTTGTTACAGTTTTACATTTGTTTTACTGTCCCAAATTTGGAATAATCAATTCCGTATAAACTTGAAGCACTACTACAGCCTTTATACCAAGCAGGGAACAAGAGATAAAACCAGTGATGTACACATATCTTCTATATACTTGTCAGGTCATCCAGATCCTGCCTGGACTCTGACACCAATTAGTGTCATTGGAAGAGTATACTGTATATATACTGCTGGAAAAAAGAAACGCAACTGCACCTCCTCCACACTCTGGCCCTCCCATCTACGTGTAACAAGCTGAAGAGTGACTCATCCGTGAATTAGGACCTGATGCCACTGCTGACAAGTCCATCGACGCCTCTGTCTGGCCCAAACCAGTTGGGTGCGATGTCTAAGAGGTGTGAGCAGAGGGCCTCTGACTTTGCTCTAAGGCCAGCAGCATGGAGCCTCACTGTCCTGTCACTGATGCGGGCATTGTGTCTGCCGGCAATTTTGAGCAGCAGTGCGGGTGGCAGATCTGAAATGATCACTCAGGTGGACTAGTCTGATGTGTCGGTCCTGCACTGGTGTGGTCACTCAAGGGCGACCAGATCTTGGACGGTCATCTGTCCTGCCAGTCTGCTGCATCCTTCTCTGCAGTTGGGACACAGTGGAGTGGCTTACTCCATAGTGTCTGGCAACGCTGGCACAAGACACACCTACCTGCAGCATGCCAATGGCCCTCTACCTTGCTTCTGATGACATTTGAGGCATTATGCAATGCACAGAAAACTGACTAAGTGTGGACTTTTTTGCAGTGACCTAAGCTTTGAATTAAGGCCTTTTTAAAGGTGACCTGATCAGGCATTGTTCCACCTGGACCTGGTTGGGTAAAAGTGCACTTAACAAGCTTTCATGTGATTGGCAAGTTGCAACGCCTCAGTTGTATTGTTATACAGTTGTATAACTTGTATTGCTGGTCAGAGGGCTTAAAACAAATTGAAAACTTTTTGTGAAAGTACATAAGCTATAACTATAGTATTCTCATTCCAGAAAGTATTGCATTACTTTTTGCCATCAGTATATATCAGTGCAATGAGTCAGTTACCCATTACTGTATGCGTTTATATTTATACATTCTATTTTTCCTAAAGGATCCCAGAATGTTTTACATATAGAAAGTGTCCCACTTCATCCACAACTAAAGTGCAGTACCCTCCTGCATTATGTGCCAGCACCCCAACCACGTAAAGATGAGGTACACTGTAGATGTGTGAGAAATTACTCCACAAATTGAACTAATTATGTCCAAGCCCATAGTGGAAGACTAAATAAAGACTAAACCCAAATTTTATTAGCACTTTGATGAGATTTTTAATGATCAAGAGTTTGCTTGAATGTCTCACCCAAAGTACTGCACTTGCTACAGAGTATCCCTGTTATGGTTCTGTGTCTGTGGTCTTTACTTTCTGGTTCAAAGAGAAGAGCAACACTCATTAGTTCACCAACACCACAGCCTGGTTTTCCTTGCAGGTCTCTCATCACAGTACTAATCTCAAGCTCAGGAGTTAGTAACACTGCTATTGTTAATACTGCCAGCTGAAAGCAGCCTGAAAAACTACAGGTATTGCTATTGCATGTCTACATAAGGCAACTTGGGAACACCAAATACTGGCATTAAATGGCAAACTATGAGCTGCTACTGAATAAAGCAGTACCACTGAAGTAGATCAGATTCAAATAAGTGCCTTCTGCACTCTAGGACTCAACATACTGTATACATTTCTATTTGAGTAACTTGGGAGCATCTTTAATATAAATGGCTGTAATCAATAGTAATATTGAGTTATTAAATAAACCCTGGCTCTGCCAAGTACTGATACGGATCAAGTACAAATTGACACAATAGACAGTCTGCTACAATTTAACAACCTCCAAAGCCAAAGATTGAGACTGAAGGTATATTAAGGTGTTCTGAGGTATGGATTTATTGGTGCTTGAAAAGTTTTAAAAGGAATCCTTCCAGGCAATCCGTAATACAAAACCAAACTGCTTTAACCAGCTATTCCTTATAATAATGGATTAATTTTAAAGTATTTTGAACAGCTCTGAAGGTTAACTAACAACAATCAAAAACAAGTTACTAACAAGTAACTAACAACAATTAATACTAAAATTATTACTCTCACAAAGGAGGATAATAAAGACATGAAAATACTATACTCAAGAAATCTAAAATATGACAAGTGTTTTACCCTGAAGGAAGCTGCTCTGGGATGATGTCTCATGAAAGCAGTCTCCTCAGGGCCCTTGGACTTCCTTCTAACATCTTCAGAACCTAACTCATATCCGACCTCTCTGCTATTCAGAACCTAGAAGTATAAAAAAATTAAGTCTAAATAGTTTCCATACTGCACAAAATCTAGTGTAAATGCTTAAATTCTCCTAATTCCTCATTCAAGGAGTAACAGACAATCCCCAAGTAATGAAGGTGAGACAAATAAAAAGAGCTTTTACAGATATGTACAGGCTTGGATGTGGCCACCTGGCTATGTGGCCAAGTCTGTTAGAAACTCCTATATAACAAGCCTTAGGGCTGCCACACTCGTGTTGGAGGTGGAGTTAGTTGTGTGCTAATTGCCTACATTTATACATATCCCAAAGAACGGGAGATTAGTTGGATCACAGACTTGTTTTTCTACAAAATTTTCATAATATACCCCATGTATAAAATGTATATTTAAATAACAAACAGTAAAGACCTGTAGTTATTGTTAAGAAGGGGTGATAAACTTATTTTTGGTGCTTAAATTGCTTTTATTCCCTTAATAATTAGTTTTAAGATTTTACTTTTTTTCACTTACAGTAATTATTATATGCAAAATTGTGTACAGTACTAACAAAATCAAGATATGCTTTTTTAAAATGAAAATCAGTTAAGATAGGAGTTGTAAAAATGTAAATAGGCTAGGGGGTGCTATTGCTGCACTAATACATATTTGAATTCACATCTGCTCAAAAACTGATAACATAAAGAGGCATAATAACAAATATAAACATGAGATGAGTAGTATCTTAATAGTTACAAGATTCTATTCACCTTGTTGTCTCCATTCTCTCTGATTTCCCAGAAACGTCTTGGGCTGTGTATTAGCTCTTTTTCAGCAATGTTTTGTACAGAAGGGCTGGTAGGACTCATCGGAGAGAATACATTTCCCCTCCCAGTGGGGGAACTTGGACTCTTATCAAAAGAAATGGAGAGAGAGCTGCAAAGATAACAACAATAGACAGTGAAAACTTTACACACAATTCAAAGGCACAGGTGATCATGAAACATAATACAGCCAGCAACCCTTGAGATGGTCTTGCAATGTCGTAGGATTAGTTATGGTGAAAGATGCATACAGACGTATTATGAAAATACAAAAAGTAGAAGCACTGTAAAATTATTACACACGTTATTACAAGATAAAATTATTTTTTAAATGGTACTGAGGAAGCATTACTTTTAATTTATGTTAGAGTATTGTCACGCCCCCTGCAGCCAGAGGGCGCTCCTTCTCTGTCCTGTCCCTAGTTTCCGGTCTGCTGTCCTTCCTGTCCCTCTCTTTCCCTTGGGCTATATATTTCCGGGTCTTGCACTCTGTCCTCGCTCAGCATTGATGTTCGGATGTCCTGAGACCCGCCTAGCACCAGGGCGCCCCACGTCCGCTCCCTGAGGGCATAGGTTTCTATACGGCATTCCTGAACTCTTTGCACTAATGAGCCCGGGCCTTTTTCCCGTTTCGCCGCTACGCATATGGGTCTTTTTCCGCTCTCCTGCTCCCCACGGTTAGTCCCTTTGGACGTCCGTGACAAGTATATCTTTACTGCCTATATTAAATAAAGGAACAAGTAAACGTTCCATGCTGAAAAGAGAAGGAAAGAAACACAACGTTTCGGCTGTAAAGCCTTCTTTGGGTGTGTATATAAAATATAGTTTGCTGTAAAATGAAAAAAATGGCTAAAAAGGTGTCATCCATTGTGAGAAACATGACAAAGATTAAACATTAATTTAAAGGATAAGCATGGGGATGTTTTATTTAAGAACTATCTTAAAAGACTTTAAAACATATAATAATGTAATATGCAATTAACCCTTTTAGTACTATTTAGATTTAAATAAATGATTGCTAATAAAAATAGAAACACAAGTGATACACTATAAAAAATTAGCAAAGAAGAAATATGGTATGATTTAAAAAATTTTATATTTTCATTAGTTCATTAGAACAATCTAATGAATCTGTTTCACAATTACCTGACAAACATCCGGGGTGACTTAGTTGGAGTCTTTTTCTCTGTTTCTTTGTTATACAGGAATTCGGTATTTTCACTCTAAAAAAAAGGTTGATAATAATAAACTTCATGTTTAATAAATACTATGTCAACTTTACCCCAAAGGACTTTTTTAAAAAGAGGTGTGGATGATATAACTACATTAAAATATGATTTTCCTTTATCTGATTTGTAGCCACTTTAAATATCAGAGTTATTGATCAGTCCCTAGAGAATGCAGTATTACAGATGACTTTTTCTTTCCTAGGCTAAGCAAAAGAGAATGCTATTTCTGAAAAGGCATTGAACATTTCTTTCAAGATTTGCCATTACAATAATGAACCATTGTCGTCATTGTGTTCTTGAACTGCATATGGACCTGACCCAAGTGAGACATCTTTATGTCTTTAATTTTGATAAAGCAAATTAAATTTTACCAGTCTTCTTATTTTCCTTGCCAGTACTTTCACTGTCTTCAACAAGGTCAAGTTTTGTTAATAAACACTGTTTCATTATAATATCAATCATGTACTCACAGAGAATGAAACTCAGCAGGTGGTAACATGTGACCATAAGGAAATGGGAACAGTTTGCTGGCACTTAACCTCATGAGTTTTCATGTTTTAATGACCTTTGAGCATTTCAAATGGTTTTTTTTTCCAGTGTAACAGCACAAATGTAATTATTTACATTATGGGTCTACTTCTTTAATTTTTGTTGTAGATTGTGATTTTTGTGCTGTCTTGTTCTACTGAATTATAATAATGATAAATAATAATTTAACCTCAAAGGACTCTAGAGGCCCCCTCTAAAAATGGGAAGATTAACTGCATTATAACATACTTACTACATTCTTTTTGACTGACACAGAGTTGCTCCTCAGGTCATTATTATCTTTGCTGTTGGGGCTCCTTGGTGTCTCAGCCTTGGGCTCTCGTCTTCCTTCAAGACTGTCATCTTCTGCCTTGAACTCAGCTTCCTGCCCCTCCTCCTCTCGTTGCTGCCTCAGTGTCTCCACGTGTCTCCTCTTCCTCTTCTCATCTCGTGCCTTTAGCATCTCTAAAAACTCCAGGTGGGCCTGAAGATCTTCTGGTTCAGGGTTGTCCTCAGAACTGCAAGAACAGCATCAAATTACACAAACAACAAAGAAACATAGATAAACATACACACACTTTATATGCAGTGAAAAGCGAAAGCATTGGGACAGTGTTGTGAAATTTTTCATTTTTGCTAAAGTTTACTATATACTAATGAAATTTGTGGCTTCTTGGAAAATCGGCTCTAGGTATGAGTGTGTCCATGTGTGTGCTTGTATTGGACTGGCATTCTTTCCAGAGTATACCCTGCCTTGCGCCCGTTGCTTGTTGAGATAAATTCTGGATCTCTTACAACCCAGAACTAGAAAAAGCAGTTAGAAAATAGATACTGTAGGAGGACTAATGAAGTTTGTATTTCTGAAACAAAAATGTTTCTTGGAGGCAAAAGAAGAAAATAAGAATCTTTTGTTTCTGTGTATTATCTTGTACAAATGTTTAGCCATGTTTTAACAATGTTATTTGTTGCATCAATGCCCCTATTTCAGCTAAGTGCAAGTATTGGGACAAATAGCTGACAGGTGTTTCTAATTACTCAAGCATTCCATGCTGCATTAATTGTGGCAACATAAAAGAGCTCTGAATGTGTTACCTTGGTTCCAGCCTTTCCAGTTTACTTTTTGGGTCTGCCTCTTGAATTAGAAAACATTAGCCAAAATGTAGACCAGAGAGTTGTCTATGTTGGAAAAGCAAGTTTTGGTGAAGACAAGAGCAAAGGAAAACCTATTAGAACCAATGAGATTGGGAATCACACAATCAAAAATATGGAATATCTTGAAAAGAAAGAAACTACTGGAGTTCTAAGCAATTGGAAAAGAGCAGGTCTTCCAAGGAAGGAAGAAGACAGCAGCTGAGGAAAAGTCACTAGAGCTGTGAATAACTTTATAAATCTTTATAATCAATAGTTCAAAATAAATTCAAAATTCAAAGGAATAAATTCAAGAGGAGAATTACAAGGACTGCAATGCAAGATACAAACCTCTCATGGGCAAAGATGAGCCACAATAGTTCTGGAACAAAGTTTTATGTACAGACAAGATGAACCTTTTTCAAAGCAACTAAAAGGCAAACGTGTGGAGAAAGAAAGGACCTGCTTTCAAAATCTTTTCACTGTAGATTAAGCATATTCATTACAACTGTTGTTTTCAATCCTGCTCCTAAAGAACCTCTTTCAGAGCCGAAAACAGATTTAATTCTAAGTGGCTAGAACAGTGAAATTACTCGCACAGAGCTCAAGTTTAACAACTATAAACTATATTTTGATCTCTAAGACCTGGCCTATTTTATTGGTCCAGGATTATTCTATGCTTCCAAGAACCTAGTGTTGGAAAGTTCTGAAACCTAATGTGCACTCTTCTTCTGGGGTCCTTGTGTTGCTGCTAATCTTAAAGAAGTCCCTCAAGTTGATATAGTCACTTCCTGTCAAAAGTCTGAATCCCAGAAAGATTCAGTTCCATTAATCTGAGCATTTCTTCCAGAGAATAAATTAGTCTGTCTGCTTTCCTTTATACCGCCTCTAGAGTGCAAAGGGAAAAACCTTGTTTTTATAACATAATGACAAAAACTGTACACAGTATTAAAATTTCACAATTTTAAGATAATTTCTCTTGATTATCTTTAAATGGAAAAAGGTTCTAGGTGTCAGATTGTATAGCTTGTATGAGTCCATGGCACCCTTTCCATGAGCAAGATAGATCAAAGGACCTAGTGTGGAAACTGTTTTTATAGTCTCATATGCAAAGGCATTTAGTCAGGTATTTAAGAATTCATCTTAATGCAAGCAATAAAATATATGGACGCTCCAGAATCAGGACTCAGGACCACATTAATATAAGTAAACAAACTGAAAGCAATTACAGCCCAGAATAGGAATGAAAATTAGCACTCTTTAGTACAACAACAACTTAGACCAGCATTCAATGATAACAGCTAGTAAAATAGGCATAACATGCCACATAATGTTTGTCAGAGCCACTGAGCCATTATAATTCTTTTAACATTCTCTTCATTAAAAAGCCTGTAGAAGGGAATATTGCTGGCACTACACAGTAGAGAAGAACACCCAACTGTGGTTGTTTGCTTATTTCTTTTGGTTCTGTGAAGAGTGTTTTTTATGTTTCCCAAAATGTGCACACCTGGTAAGATCCCACTGGAAATTATGAGTAATTATTTAAACACATAAAATTTAAATAACTAGGGAACCCAACTACTACATACAGAAAAGTGCTCTTAGAAATATTTTTTATACCATGCTTTGATGACACATTTAATTGTACAGTAATATCTGTATGCAATGAATTCATTAATTTCTATTACTCAATTTCAAGAGCTTTTACTGCAATAGCTCCAACAGAGCAGGCTGAATACTGTACTTGTGTTTATAAGACCCAAGGTTTACACAGGAATCAGAGTTTTGGCCCTCAAGAGGCTTCATATGTGCATTCTTCCTGATTTTTGTTTTTTGTAATTGACCACATTTTAAGTAATTTGACCAAGTCAGAATTTAAGGAGATGACAGCTTTCTAGCAATGAAGACACACTTTACTGATCTAAGAAAAGGTTTCTTACTGAACCAGCCACACCTGCTTGGTCTCAGGGCTGTGTCTTCTGGGGTGGCATCAGGTGACTCTGACACAGAAGTGCAGCTTCGGTTTCTTCTCCGTCGCTCACGCTCAATCTCTTCCTCATCCTCCACAGTCCACTGGCGTGTCAGACTGGAAGATGGAAAAAAAATAGGGTTGGGTATTTGCCCACTTTTCATGGATTAGAAGTGCTTCTTATAGCATACTCATTACATATTACATATCATTACATGATAGAAAAAGTGTGGAGCTGTCAAAGTGAATAAAAAAAGGCTCTTGCTCAATCAGGTTTTACCTGTTGATCTTTCTGAAAGCTTTGTAGCAGGAGGATGCAACTCTGATTATCGAGTGATAAATTTGATTCTTTCTCTTTCATCTCAGACTGAAAGTAAAACTAATGAAGTAAACAATAAGTCAAATCAGTTGTGTTTTCTTCCAATTAGTCAGGTGGTTACCTGAAGAAATTGAAAGGATTAGTCAAAACTAAAACCTTTAATTAATTAAGGATTTATTAATCTGATTAAGGAACTAGGCATTAGTTAACTGGAGTTGTCTACCTATTATGTATAATTTAATTGTTTGTTTAAGAACATTCAGAATTAATTCCATTCCAGCCTGATGAATATAAGAAACATCAGAAAACAGTTTGGTAAGCATTCCTTAGTCACATATTATTACTCATTTTGACTGCATAATCATTAAAATATTTGGTAAATGCACAATATTTTGAATCTTCCAAGAAAACATTAAAATGTCAAACAATATCACTGTAAGCACCGGTCCTTAGGTATCATGATTTTTAAAATCTTCTGTTGTAACCGCTTACATTTTAAGTCATCAAGTTGACAGTAATGTAGATGAAAAAACAATAGATGAAATGTGCTTAAGTAGTTTTATCTAGGTTGCACTATGTGGGTGTTCCTTTACTTTGTTTTCTTTGCATAATGATAAGATAAGATCACTTTATTAGCCACATACAATTTCTTGTATTAGGAATTTGTCTTTTTCGCATACCCCAACTTGCTCTCCATGAGACACACAGACAGGGAGAGAAGCTTGGCGTCAGAGCGCAGGGTCAGCCATTTATGCGGCAACCCTGGAGCAGTTGAGGTTAAGGGCCTTGCTAAGGGGCCCAACGGAGTAGGGTTCCTCTGCCGATTGGGGGATTTGAATTGGCAACACTCAAGCCATAGGCGCAGATCCTTAGCCACAGAGCCACCGCTCCCGCCCTCCTGGATTTTCATGAGTGTTCTAATTAAGTAACTGATTAATCCATTATGTCATTACTTGCTCCGCTTTAATGAAAACCAGAAAATACTATTGCTGTACTACAGACCTGTGACATAGGATATAAATTTTAACACTATACAGCCATAGTTAGAGCTATAATCAAATGTATTGTAATAGTTCATAAGAAATTTAAGTTATATATATATTTTCAGAGGCCTATTTCTCTTTATATGCTTACTGTATGTGTTCCCATAACCAGAACACACCATCTATGCAATATCACAAAGAATAGAGAGGCTGGGCATCACCCCTTGGTCTAGCCAATCAACCGATATGAACTCTCACTTAGCTTGTCTGAGCTTTACTCACCTAAAATCTCAGAAGAAAAACTCATTTACTTTTTACAATGATTTGTGGGAGTCTGGAGCAAGATACCCAGTCATGTTGTTGAAGAGAACATCATTCAAGAAAATACTGTATAAGCCCCTTAGATTAAGCAGGTACTCCCAACCACAAAAGCTGCATTAAATGCGTCAAATAGTAACCTTATTTCTGGTTTTATGTAATGCTAGTATCCAAGTTATTCCACTTCCCAGGATTTGACTCTATACTGTATGTATATTCTTCATCATGAATTGACTGTGATCCTTTAAATCAGATTTGCGGAAGTAAAAGGGTGGCACCTCCACCATATTGTTTCAGTTCTGTGGGTGGTTCCAAAACAAACAGATATTCTTTCTAAGGTTTTGTGGCTGTTTACGTGTCTGCTTTCCATGCCTGCAAATGTATTTTATACATCAGGCATGAAAATGAAAATTGTATACAGTAGCTCATAAGAACATAAGAAAGGTTTTTAACGAGGCCATTCAGCCCATTTAGCACAATAAGTATTTAGTAGCTAATTGATCTGAGAATCCCATCCAGCCTTTTCTTGAAAGAAGCAAGTCTATTCAACATCATGGCTGTGTGGTTTGTTCCATATTCTCACAACCCATGGGGTAAAGAAGTGCATATTGTTTTTGGTTTAAAATGCACTTGCCACAATGCTCCACTTATGTCTTCTGCTTCCTGTTTCACTCTTTTTCCTGAAGAATTCTGCTGGGTCGACTTAGTGAATGCACTTGGGAGTTTTAAAAACTTCTGTGAGGTCCCTCTATACTCTTTTTTATAGACTTAAACGTTTTAGGCTTAAAAGATTCAGTTTCTTCAGCTTGTCAATTTAGGACATTTCCCTTAGCCTCAGAATATATCTGGTTGGTCTTCTTTGGACTGATTCAGAACAGCAATATCTTTTCTATAATGCGGTGAACATATTGTCCCTAAGGTTGATATGCGTTATACAACTTTATCAAACTGTAACATAATGTAACATAACATACTGTAACAGCAATTTCAATTAAAAATCCTAACATTTTGATGTCCTATTTAATTGCTCTCCCACACTGTCTAGAAAATGTAAGTGATGCGTCAACATAATTTGACACATCATTAATATCTTCTCCTATCTCAGTGTTTGCCATTTTGTACTTAAAGTACATGCCATGCTCTGCACTTGTCTGCATTAAACATTATCTGCCAAGAGGTTGCCCCAGCCTCAGATTTAACTTAAATCTTGAATTTGATCTAAAATCATCCCCTGACCTCAAACTCAGCTCATAATTGTTGTCTTAGTAGACAGTGCATTCAGTGCATACACAAGGAAATTATAGTATAGAAACTAAAAAAAAAAGATTATGTCTGGTAGCATGGTAACAATGATAAAGACACATGAAGGAAATACATTTTTTTGCCATTTTTCAATCATTTAATTAACTCACTGTGTCTCTGTAATCTCACTCTGGGTTGTTTTCCTTCCCAGCTTCATGTCTGAGAGTAAGTGAGAAATACACCCTCTATCAGATAGTTTTCCTGTTGTCTAAGGGCGTTTTTTATCATGTGGTGAGATCTAAAAACTCGTCTCTCAACTGTTATGCAAATATTTTTTTTAGGTTTATTAGTTTTCTGTTTCCAAATATTTAACTTATTGGTCTGTCAGATTGGTCTGTCACCTGACATCACACTTATAACTCAATGCAAGTGCTTCCATGTTTATAGATATGTATAGCATAAATTAATCCCAGAATCCTAAACTGTAGGGTTTCTTAATGTTAGTTAAGTTTTTTTTGAAAAATGTCTTTATTGTATCCAAAGCAGGACTATTTAAAAATAGGAAAGGGGGAGAAAATAAATTATATATATTTTTAACTTAAACTTTTTTAATCAAGCAACTGTTAGATTTATTTAGAAATCTAAGCAGAACATAAACTAACAAAGAAAATTATAGTGTTCTACAAATATATTCGCTTGCATGTAGACCAATATTTTAATGCAGCTAATTAAAGAATAGCATAAACACAAAGCACGCTCAAAGGATCTTGCACATCTTGGAACCCTATCACTATTGTTATTACTGTAAAGTACTGTACATGAATTAAACAGTAAGGTCATATACTGTAAGCATCAAATTCCTCATTTCGGATTATCGTCTAGGCTTAAATCGCCAGATGGAATTTAACCAATAGTTCTATAACTATTACTAAGAATGCTCATTATTACCCAATCCATGTACATGCATCTATTCTAAAGGATAAAAATAGTCATTTTGAAGCAATGTTTATTGGTATTATTTGCATCTAATCTGAAGAAATGCAAATACATTATGCATTATATCTCGTTCCCAATGTTTTGGTAAGAAATGTCTGCTATTTCAGTGACTGCTTTATGTGAAGGTTATGGGTTACAGTTAAGGTTGGGGATAGAGGTTATGTTAAGGCAGTTAGGGAGATAGATTGAGAAAGTGTTAGTGTGAGGTAATTGCTGCAATGTCTGTTGTTCCCTATGCTAGCATGGGTTTCAACAGTTAGCAGACTGAGCAGCAGCTCCCATGCTGCTGAAATGGCTATTTTACACTTTGGTGCATGTACTGTAGATCCACAAGGATCAGCTGTTATTATTGGAGTGTTTGACACACTACCTTTCCCACCTGTGTCTGAAGATTACTGACTGATAACCAGTTAGGAGCTGTTGAGAAAATTCTGTTAAATCAGCAATTTTAAACCAAGTTGAAGAGAAAACTAATTTGCCACATCTTGTGAATGTAATAAACATAATTGATTTCTTATACCTAAGAAAGCAGTTAATATCAAACAATTGTTTAAATTAAGGTTTCAATAGCTTAACCTAATTAAGAAGTAATTTTAAACAACACCCATAAAAAGCATGGCAAACTAGGACTGGAAAATATTGATGTGAGGTATGAAAATATTTAGCTCTGAAAGATGAAAAAGAATAATAGTACTTATGGTCTTACTACAATACAACTGTTTTCAGTTCTCAACTATGCACTTGTTCATTGAGTTTTATTATTAAGGTATGAGTCTTCCAACAAGCCCCACCTGGTATGAAGATGTTCAAGACAAGACAAAAACTAAAAGCTGGCTTCTGATGTGCTAACGAATGGATACAGAGTCCACTCAATCATTCATCTCCAAACTAGCGATTTGCAAAATTACTTATTTTAATTTAATCCATGCATTTATAGAGAGTTCCTATCTTGTAGAAATGTCTATGTTAATTTCTTAAACCCTTATACTGTACATGCACACACTCAATTGTGCAAACTGATTATTACTGTATATAAAAATATCTGTGGTCAGAGATACTGTAGCTACACTTTCATCGCAGGTACTGTACAGCATGTACAGTAGTTAGTAGTTGAACTTCTCCAAGCACATTTTGTATTTTTCCCTTAAACTACAGAAAAGAGTGGGTGTGTTGCTGACTAAAACATTAGCAAACACAATATAAACACTGATAACTGCCAACTCGATAGAGCATTTGTGATAAAGACTCCGGAAACCTTAACAGTTCACCCGCAACAACCAAGTAGCAAACTATCCAAAGTAGTATAGGTATGCACCCATTTTCTAGGTCATCGACAGATTTTAACACATACTGTATTTAGATAACTGTAATACAGCTACATTATATAATATACATGGTTTTATCCTTACCCCCTTGTAATGAAAAAGACATCAGAGAACTGTGTGTATTCATATAGACAGAAATTATATTTACATACAATCTATAGATTACAATACGATGGAGCAGACACAGATTGTAAAAATGTTATCTCATGTATCTGGTGCTGTACCGAGTTTACAAAGCAAGGTGCTTGAACAATTAACAAGAGAAAAGCGTACTCACAACTTACCTGGAAAGAGCTGACCAATTCTTTCGGCTTAAAGACATTTCGATTGTCTCTCGCTGCGACTTCTTACAGTCCCAAATCAGTACTGAACAAAAGGGGGATCTATCAGACACTGTTAGACTCCGGCAGGAACTTCAGATTTTCTCAAAACTTTCTGTAATCCACCGTAATGCACTGGTACTACAGTACATCCACCTTTACCCCGCGCTGCTGAAAGATCACATGACTTCTGATATCATTGTTTCGAGATGTAATTTACCTGTTAGCAGGACGTTCCAAATGCACTTTGCGCTTAAGTAGGCGGATGATCTTCAGAAAAAGGTTCTACCTTAAAAAGTGATGTTTTGTTTTGCGCTTCGCATCGTCTTTGTTTCTCTTTTGGTCTGACATAGTTTTTTTCCGCATGTATTTGTACAGTGCAGCAATGGAGTTTCAGGACATACTGTATAATAACGTCGTACCTGAAGGCAAAGCAGAAGTATACGCCTGAATACCCCTGAGCTGGGAACAATAACCTGTAGTATTATAATGTGAAGTATTTTACACATGAGTAGAAATAAATATGAACTGGATTTCTAAGCAAAACGAATGAAATTTAAGACATCAGCTTGTATTTATTCTATTACTGCCTGTGGATGACCGTAGCTTGTAATCCATAAATTTATAGCTTTACGATTTTTTTAAAGGCATATTGTTTTTAAAACAAAAGGAAAGGTGATTTGTGACAGCTTTATAATAATTCCAAGTATACATGTATAATTTAAGAAAAAGTACACACATGTATTTTGTTACATTTAGATTGTTGCAAGATAATCCAAATACATCCAAACAAGTATTTAATTCAAAAGAATTGAATGATAGTGTATGTACTGTATAGTATTTTGATATTAATATGAATTTATAACTTAAATTTCCTATAACTTAAAAATAATTTATTGCGTTTTAGGGAATTACATTTTATAATATATTCTTTTCATATCTGTTTTTATTTCATTAGAATTAACACTATACAGTATACAGTTGTGTATATGTAGCCCTTTTCGTTACATCTACTGTATAATGTAACATTTAAATGTCATCACATTTCCTAAGATATTGAAAAAAGAATGCTAAAATTCACTAAAATAATTAAACTAAGCAATAGATGTTAAGGGACTTTAATTATTGAAATGTATATAACAAAACACATTTCCCACTCAGGGATAATAAATATTCTCTCTCTCATGACTGCAATCCAAGTAAAGATCAGAATTTAAATACACATTTTGAACTAATACTGCAGTACTATTGACAAAAGTTTTGTGACATAAGAGCTTGATACACCAAAAAAAATATCAATTCCCTTTGAGATATTATTATCTGCCTATCCTTACAACCCATATGAATCATTCTGTGTTTGCTGTACTGAAGAGCCACACCTTTACTGTGAACCACACAGGACTTTGCCCAGTGCAGTTTGAAAGGTGTAGATAGTTCCTCCTGGGTGAACTATCTACATCTTTCAGTTGTAGGACACCTGCAAAGGGATGCCCAGAATGAAAAAGATAAGCAAATATGCAAAGCTATCTGAAATTTCCCTGCAGATAAAAAAAACAGCCTAATTATGTTACATAGTGTGCCCATATTCTATTATATTTGTAAAATTATTTTATTATTTTGTGATTTATTGAAGAAAATGCTAGCACAGTAATTGGTTTGAATGGGAGCAATACCAGGTTTTAATGGTTTAATGCCTGTTGGCATATTTACTGTATACCTCTTAGTACACTGTCATAAAGGTTTAGGTTTCACAGATTAATGAGTTAATAGAACGGTTTCTTCATGTGTGGTGTCTAACATACACTATATTGTGTAAAAGGAAGCAACATTCCTATTGCCCTCATTTTTACAGGTTAGTTCTAAAATATACCGCTATCTAATATTATATGTGCATAAAAAGTCACTTAATTATAATAGTTAATTTGTTTAAATAAAATAGTAAGAATATTAGAGAATGATGCACTCCATAAGAGTAACACAGGCTGTACAACTTAATGGGAGTACCCGACTTCCTGAGGACTGTAAAGTCACAGCAGACCATGCCTTTTTCTGTCTGTGACATGCTCTGGGGAAGAAGACTATGTAAGTGACCTTGGAAGTTTAATAATTCTTGGTGTACATGATTGGTGCATCACTGCTGGCAACAGCAGACCTGGATAATGCACCATTTCAGGTTAACAGGCAGTGAAAGACAGATAAAAGGAAGGAAAGAAGCATAAACTAAGCTGTAAAGAGCTAATAAGCCAAAGGGACAGTTCGAGGGGTGGGTACGCTCAAGAGATGATTAGTACAATGCCCTCTTCCCAGAGTCTGCCTCTCATTAGGCAAGTGAAGCTCCAGGTGATGTAGAGGGCAGATGATGTAGTTGTATAAGAATATCTAGTCTTTAATACTAATTAATTAATGTGAGTTTTCCTGAAGACTGAAATCTAATCCCAGTGCTAGTATAGAAAAGAACACATTGGCTATGGACTTTCTAAAATGTGGTTTTCATGCCTGTATTATATTTGCACAAGGTATTCTTTAATAGTTCATTTAAATTACCAAACAAACATTGAAAAGAAACTGAGACACCTTTCTAGAAGCATGTTCCAAACAGAGGAGAGTGTATTAGAAAGTTCTAGTCTGTGCTGGCAATGGTATGTTTGTGCATGTGAAGGAATTTATCCCAATATCTGTAATCCATATTCTCTTCATACTGATACACATACACACCCAGATACACATACACACCCAGAGCACAAGACAGTATTACCTGCTGAATGGAAAGATAGTCCACTGCACAAACAGAGCACAAACACATGTACACAGTGACAAATTAGAGATACCAATTATTGTGGACAGCATTACTTTGGACTATGGAAGGAAAATGGAGCACCTGAAGAAACCCCACATGCACATAGGGAGGACTTCAAAAGAAAAGGTGCCGCAGTCCAGAATCAAACCAAAGAGGCAGCAGTGTTCACTGTCACACCACTATGCCAACAGAAATATCAACAGGAAGATGAAGATGTGTTTATAAAAATCTGTTCAAAAACAGAACAACAGTGCATGTTTGTGACAAAGGTAGAAAAAGGTTAATCCCCACCCAGAAAATCCTCCCATTGCTCTACAATTGTATAATACAAATACAAATATTTTATATAGTCAATTGTAATACGTAATATACGCATTATATTAATCTTTAATCTTTGCCGATCTGTGAATGAAATTGGAATTTTGAAATTCAAAAGATATGGAAGTCAGGGGCTTAAGGTGAGGCTAAAACCTAGATTTCCACCATTGTAGGAAAGAATCTTGCTGAACCATCTAAACATTAACCCAACTATGTGTGCTTAGATTAATTTTTTACAGAAGCTGTGTTTCATTTTGAAAAGTAGAAATTAAATCTTGCTTGTAATTGAACCACTGCATAATACATTTTAAATGTATTTAAATTTAAGGTGCATTTCTGTTCTCCTCTTATTGTATTATACTATTATGCATATTAACTTCAATAATATTTAAACAAAAATTGAAAAAAGTGAATTAATAAAGATGTGTTTTTATACATCTGTTCAATAAAAGGTATTATGGTGCATTCTTGTAACCCCAGTCAGCAAGGATCAATCTACACTCTGGAAATTCTCCTGTTGCTCTACAATTGTTGTAATATATACATTCCTTTATTAATCTGTGAATGAATTCTGAATTTTGAGATTCAGAAGTCTTATTGTTGAGGTCAGTAGTCTAAGGTGAGGCTGAGACATGACCTCAACATTTTTTTATACTCTATTTTCTGTGAGCTATGAGAATTTCTAGTTTTTGGTATTGTTTCTGGTTTAAAACAAGAACTGAAAAATATAATCCCATTTCATGCTATATGCTGAATCCTTCAAAAATATATAACATTTTGGCTGTGATATTATGATTTAGAGCTAACTATTTAAAAAAAATCTTAATTTGTTGACTGACTTTTTGTTATGTGTGATTTATTTTAGATTTTCTACATTTAGAATGAACATCACTGAGACTTGCATTTGGACCACTTTTTTGACAACAAATTTGCTCTGAAGTAGTAATACACACCAGTAGTAAGATGATGCAATAGGAACCTGCAGATCACAAGAAGAAAGTTCTTTTTATTCTTACTTTTCATTTAAACATCCTTATGTGTTTAAAACATCCTCAGATATTTAAAGCTCTACTTTTTGGGTGCAAGGCATAATAAAACATTATTAAGAGTGAATTCTACAGATAATTGCAAGAATTAACAATAGATTTACCTGAATGTTGACATCCAAGTTTGAAGACCTAGATTATCATTATTGATCTTCACCATTTTGAAGGAAAGACCACATGACTGTTACAAAAGGAATTTGGTATCCCATCAGCTTGTCAACGTCTCATCATCAATATTTCATCATGAGACAGTGAAAATGTGTCTCATTCATTCGTTTTGCTCACAGTTCCATACAATATACTGTACACTATTCACATGTTCCATTTCAGTTTTTCTTATAGATTCAAGATATTTTATTCACACTTTCAAGATGTGGAAATTGCCATTGTTTTGACAAAAAAAAAATCATTTTTGGGAGGCCCTGACATTGTCTGCCAGGAGTTATTGTTTTTTGAGGAAACATTTTCTAAGATTTGGAGTTCACAAATGTATGGTAGAAACACACCATTGTAACAATTGAGAATGTTATAAAATATTGTGTTCATTTTGGTTAAATACTATAAAATCTAAATTAGACAGAAATAAGGAGAAATTAACATAAGATGCATTTGGAATATAATAAAGGAGATATTAATCAGAAAGCAATTGGAATTTGAAACAAAATCCGAGTCACTTTGTTGAAATATACTCCTTGGCATAATTCAGGAAATGGCTACATGGGTGTCATATATCACCAAGATACTAGAACAAAAACAGGGTGGGCTGGGCAAAATGACGCCCTCTTAATCGTAACAATGTTTGGAACTAGTATAGTTACGCAAGAAATATGTTATTCCGATTGTAGGCAAAACTATTATGCATTTCCTCAACCACTGAATTTATTGCATTTCATAGTTGTGTGTATAATTACCATTAATAACGATAACCAATTTTCCTCTGAAATAATTAGTCACTGGTTTAAACAAAACTCAATTAAGTTGAAACAACAATTAATTCATGATTATAATTAGCACTAAGGAATTCCATGTTGTGGATCCACGAAGTTGTCCTTTTTCTGTTCCGCCATCTTGTGTCAGGTTATAGGACCTGCTGCCTCATCCTGTTAAACGGGAAACTGGTGTGGGAGTATTTAGCCTGGCCCAGGTGGGGAAACGGGGTGTGTTGTTTGCATTGACCTTCTGTACTATTTTTTTTAATCAGTAAAGATTTGCACAAGTTTAATTCCTGCATTTTGATGTCCTGTGTTTATCAGTGACTTGACTGATCATCTTTGTTGGTAGTCAAGTCACACTACCTCTTGGTTAATTTCTTTCTCTAAATTGGGTTCCCTATGGCCAGGGAACTTAACCAAATGGGTGAAGCAAAAGCTATCCTAAAATACTCAAAAACTCACAAAGCATCTTATTCTTGTATGTTGTTGTACCTCATGAACTGCAACTGACACAATATATTTTATGTAATAAACAGAAGTGAAGAAATAGGAAAAGTGTAATGATTAAATATATAACATTAAATGTGAATTATTGCAAAGGCAATGTGTCCTTGCTACCAAGTTACTCCTGATGAAGAGTGCTCTGGCAGCTTCTACGCTCTTAGATTAGAATTTGCATTTCAGTTCATTCAGCTTCACTGGCACTGCATTATTTCAAGTGAATGACATTACACATGCAAATGTGTGGCAATAGTCATGCTGAGCCACTTAGATGACTATCACAGAATAAGGGTTCTATTGTTAAGATAATTTACTAATCATGTGTAAACATCATATACTAGAATACTAGAAGAGCCATCATATGGTCCAAGTTGACACATTACAGACAAGAGTATTTGTTTAAAACTTTAAAGGGCTGAAATTGAATTCTGCTTGCAAAACGATAGCTATAGCCATATGCTTATGTATAAAGGAGATTTCAAATAATGACCCCATGCCACTCTAAGAGAGGAAACTTCCCAACATAAAATTTAATGAAAATAAAAGTGCTAATGAAAAATCTAGTTGGTCAGGTTTTTTATCTGTTTTGAATCTTGATAAAATCATGTACTGCATTGTGGTATAAGATGTGTGTCGTATGTCATCATGTCCCTGTTTGAAGGTTTTTAACATGTTATCTTTCCATTAGGTGAAATTCACTTTTAAAGATGCAGGGATGCATTCATTACTTTCATAATAGTACAAAGTAGAGGTACTGTATGCTTTGCACTGCACAGGTAGAGTCCAGCATAGGGGTTTATTTTTTCAGGTGCTAAAGGTTAAAGATATTCTGTTTAAAAGCGCATAACACAAGTATTTAAATAAAATTCTGGTAAGCTATTGCTCTAATGGTTAAACACATCAACTAATAAGAACTGAAGGATAAATAAAGCACTTTATAAATCCTTCAGAAAAGAACAATGTCTTCCAGATAATGCAGGGAAGCAAGAACAGCAAACAGAATTTTAAGATGTAAAATATTATAATTGTAGAATGTTCATAACATATGTTAACAATATGTTAAAATTATCCACATTTAGAATATTGTGTACAATTTTGATAATTAAATTATACATGAGATTTTGCAGCTCTGTATTCTTAGAAAAACAATCATTATAAAGATCCATTCCTCAGCTCAATGGTCCTACTCTGACAGGCTAAAATAACTGAATCATGAATAGAGAGAGAAAAACAGGTATTTAAACCTCTTGACAGGCATTGAGTCTGGAAATAACAGTGAAACAGAAAGGTACAGAACACAATTGGAAGCTATGGGGAAGTGCATTTAAAGCCGAGAACAAGAGACACGTATTTATACAAAGTGTTTTAGGAGCATGATAATAATCTAAACACCTACAGTATGTTGTTGAAGCTCATGCCTTAGTTTCTAACAAGAAACAGCAAGGTTATGTCTTCAGATCAATTAGTATTAGAAGTCAAAAAGCTTAATTAGTTCAATGTGGAGAAAAGCTGTGCGTAAAGAGAGAAAACAGACATCATGGAAAAGTTTTATTTCAACATTAGTGTAGCTCTACACCCACATGTTGTGAATAGATCCATGAGATGTAACACATATCCTATGACACATTTAAAACATGACCACATTTTTTAATATTTGAAAAATAGACATTTGTCCTAAAAATAGAGCTTTCCAAAGGACTTATTGGGTGGAAAACTGCATCTTACTGATATTTGTATTATAGGTAAACTCTGAATCTTCAGTGGACATTTTGTTCAGTCTGTGGTTTCAGTAGTTGTATATGAGTTTCGTCTGTAGAAAATAAATCAAATAAATTTATTAAATCTTTGCAGTTTTGTGTTCTTGCATATTAAAATCATTCAGTACAAAATTCTTACTAAACAGCTGAAGTTCCCAGCTGCCATACAAATGGCATGAACCCTTTTAAATGAGTCAGCAAGCAGATACTGTATTAAGCTGTTACGTTTGTTGCTTAGCCACAAAGTTTAGAAGACACTTGCAAGTTTAAAATTGCAGCATTCCTATTGTGATGCATTTTTGTTACAAGCAACTTATTGAAATATTCTTTAGCTTTCTTTAAATGTACATTCATAAAACATAAATGATTACTGTAATACCCTGGGTGCTGGGGGCTGGGGTATCTAAACTCAACTGAACAAACTACGGTATGTCCAGAATTCGGCAACCAGAATCCTGACCATGTTTAGTGCAAGTGATCACCTTTGTTCACTCCTATCCTGGGGTCCTTGCACTACTATTGCCCTACTTCCCACCTCGCCACCTTCATTCTTCTAATTCTGTCCCTCAAGCCCATCTATGCTTCGAGAAACACTTTCTATAACTTTTAAAGAAACTGTATAAAATGAAGTATATGAGTTTTAGTGTTATAACAATATTATGTGGGAAACAGTGTCTGTGCAAATCAACCTTACTGATCCAATTCTTCCTGGTACAACTGACCAGTTTCCAGCTTTATTCTTTATTATGTGGCTACTTGGTTTTCTTAAATAAGTATCAACAACCTATATTTACATTTTAAAATAGTATTCAGAAGCGCACCAGGGATGGGTCCCCTGTTATTGCAGTGTCTTTGTAGCAACGTTTTAAGCTGAACAAACAGGTCAAGATCAGGTCTGTTTGGAATCCTCACCTTTTCACTGTGGGGTGCCAGGTTTTGCAGCATCAAACATCTTCTTTCTGCCTTCCATCCCAGACATGGCCTCAACATTCTTCCTCCAATCACCCACCTCCACTGGTCTCTCCTGTATTGAGAGGACACTTTCAGGACAAAAAACTTGACAACACATTTTAGCTACAGTAAATAAACTAAAAGAAACTAAAAGCCTCCCAAGTTCCTGATCCATGACCCCAAATACATTTGATAATGTTCATATTTCTGTTCCTTTTCCCTGTCAAATAACAAAAAGCTTTTTAAAATCAGGTGTCTGATGACATTGAGACCAGGTTTGGTGGTACACAAAAACAACTTTGGAAAAGCAAAATGCGTCTTTGACATTCTCCTTATCTTGGTTACCCTTATCACACTAGGATCATTATGTCTGGAACTTTAGCCTCACCATTTCAGATCTTCACATCTGGCTGAAATATTTTTTCTTCAGTTTCTGTTCTGCATGTTGCCTTTGCACATATTAAACCCAATCCCAAGCAGAACAAAATTGGTTTTTAAGAACTGAGTGATGGATTGTAAATTATGTAAAACATATTGTACCTATACAATAAGATTACTTTATTAGCCATATACAATTTTTTGTATTAGGAATTCATCTTTTCACATACTGCAGCTTGCTCTCCATGAGACACAGACAGGGAGAGAAGCTTGGGCTTAGAGCACAGGGTCAGCCCTTGTACAGCACCCCTGGAGTAGTTGGGGTTAAGGGCCTTGCTCAGGGGCCCAATGGAGCAGAATTCCTCTCCCAGCCATGGGATTTGAACTGGCAACCTTCCAGCCACAGGCACAGATCCTTTACCACAGTGCCACCACACCACCCTAAGATAGGGCTTTAGTGCAAAATACATTATAAAATAATTAAAATCAAAAGAATTTTCCTCTGTTGAAGAAGAAAATTTAGATGGAAGTAGAATATTAGTGTTCAGAAAAAAGATTAAACATGACACTTGAATCATATAAACAGGGTGGAGGCTGAGTACCAGCATAATCAGTTAGCTGGCTGAATCCTCTCCAAGGTAAAAGCCATTGCGTCCTTTAAGTTCTTTAATGTTATTGTCAGAGTGTTTTCCAATATGCAAAAGGCTTTCTTCAATAGGATTAAATACTAGGGTCATCTCTTAGCCAAAGCATATGTCACAAAATCCTTCTTTTATTTACTGGTTTTGAACTAAAACAACATCCTGGGATTAACTGTTTGGTAAAGAAAAAGCAGACTGCAATACTGGTTTTACAGGTCTCTGAAACTGTAATTCACACAAAGAATTGTTGATTGCAGAAGTACTGCACATTATGAAAACAATGGAGAAGTAGAGATCTAAGTTAATCATGCTTGGCAGGTTTGAAAATATGGACAAACGCATTTATTTAACAGACAATATACTTATTGTCATTCTCTGAAGATCATATAAAGCTACCACCCAGTATTCTTGGCAAAACAATTTCCTGTCAGAACATCAAAGTCTAATTATTTCTTTTCTTTTGCTCCCTTATTATATATTTTGTGTTTATCAAGGTTTTCACCTCGTTTACAATGCAGTTCTACTGTAACTTTGCATCACAGCTTTATAAATCAGTCAATTTTGCATTTTCTCCATACTACATTTGCTGCATAAAATATACTCAACCATTTGTTGATGTTTTATACATGAAATGCATTAAACAAAAGTAATGTATACAAGTAAGGTTTTTTGAAAGAATCAATTTTACAATTTAATGAAGGCAGATGTGTCTTTTTATCTTGACCAACCGAGACAGTTTTGAGGTCACCTTGACCTTCAGTTTTTGACCTTGAGAAATAGGTTCAGTTCAGGGGATGGCTGCTTATCTTTTGTAGGAGACAGGGATACAGTTGTCTTCTTCTACATACTCTCTAGCAGTATACATGAAAATCTGCTGATGGACTGTCTCCTTAAGTAATACCACTCATTTTTTGGTTTGATTTTCTAGTTTTCAAAAAGCCACTGAAGTGGGTCCTGGGGAGGGTCGGAGAATTTCAGTTACTTCCTCATCTAATCATGAAGGATTGCTCTCATTGCTGTGTTCAAAGGACAAAATGGGAACTAAATCTATTGTGCATTTAAGGATAACTAGAGGTTTGTGGAATAGCTGCAAAAAACGTGTGTGAAATAAATATATTATTCTGGGATGCAAGCTGTTACATTCCCATCTCCCTCATCTTTAAAGGCTTTACAGGACAACATAAAACCGCTGCATAAAAAAAACATGTCACCTTAGGGTGGAAAATCATCCATATGCCAGCAGTGCTTTACTGCCATCTAACGTGAAGACCAAGTCCTACCTTCTCTGTGTCTTCTTTCTTCACTGACTTCAGGTTGGCTCTCAAATCCATGGACACCTTGTGCTTGGAGCCCAGTAGCGACCGCAAAATTGCATCAGCAGAGACTCGAACCCGCCTCAGAGCGGGGCGTTTGAACTTCCCACGCAGGTCAAACACCTTCATGTTCAGATCTTGGATCTAAGAAGAGAGATTTAAGGTAAATAAGGGAAATAAATTTCCTGGGACATTGAGGGAGAAGTTGAATTTATCCTTTGTAGCAAGACACAGACTGTAAAATCACTTAAAAAATGTATGGGCTCATTTAGTCATTATGAAACCATATGATGAAACACTTCTGCAAATAGATACACTTGACTCCAGTACTCTCCAGTATTTTTGTAGCACATATCGTACCTCTCTGGTATTGTGAATGACTTTAGCCTCAATGTCATAGCGCTCCTCATCTACCACGTCAATCTTAGCATGTAGTTCCTGGCAGAGCTCCTGCAGAGGGAACAAAAAGGACAGAGAAAGAGATAAAGCCATTCCAAGTCCCTGATGAAAGACATTTACCATATAAAATAAGGTCAGAACATACTGGTTTAAATTTCAACAGGAAAATACAGATTAAGGGTCTAACATTTTTACTTAATTGTTAAGAGGAGCGTGTTTCTTACTGCTCTTCTTTTAATTTTTTTGTTCTGTATTTTCAGTAAGTTACTGTCTGTGCAACAATAAAATAATAATGAGCTACAGAGAATATAACTGAATAAAAACTACATCTATGAAAACACTACATATACAAATTAAAAAATCATCATATATACAAATCTGATTTTGGGTTCAAAAATGGTCAATACAAATGAGTAATGATATTTTTAAAGGGAAGGGAAATTAATATCCCACATATGAGTTAATCAACAAAAACAATTGCTTTGATAAGCATCAACTGGAGGATTTGATCCATGATTGACCACATTTTGTATCAAAAATCAATAATAAAAGCATATACAATAAATTCCAACACAGGTTCTCAGGTTCTGAGCATCAATGTTGAACTGTGTAGAATTGACTTTGGTAAGGTTTGAGAAAGGTTAAGAAGGAATTAATTAGGTCTTGCTGGGCCTGTGTAAATGGCAGTGATAGTTGTGAAAGGGGAGTTTTGGGATTTAACTGAAGTGTAGCACACTTACCTGCAGCTGATTGTAAGACAGGCCATGGAGCTGCAGTGGCGGCACTCTCTCACTCAGGTATCGTTCCTTTTCTTCCTCCTTGTCCACAATTTCCTGTTCCAACTCTTCTTTTGCCTTTGCCAACAGCAAGCTCTGAGAACAGAGAAAGCGTCATTCAGCCTTTGCACATTGTTTGCACTTTTGTCTGTCATTCCAATAAACGCCTGCCCCTCTACTCAAGCTTCCACTGAAATATCTTTTTTCAAAAAGTGACAAACTAATTTTTGTAAAATTGCAGTATTTAAAGACTAGGATTAATTTCCAAATCCTTGCTCTTATTTAAATAAATGTGCTTTACAATGCACAAATATGTGAAACTAATATGATTAACAATAAAATCATGAAATAAATGTTTCATCTTCACATTCCCCTACAGATCGCACTATTTGGGTATATAATGAAGATCACTTACTGGGTACAATATTCTGCTAACAGTAAATTGTTTTCTCCCTCTTGTGGTAAAGATCGGAAAAGCACTTCTATATGTATGCATGAAGGGAGTGCAACATTCAGTTTCAATGGATTTAGTCAACGATGTTGGAAAATATTAATTAAATATATTAAAATTTGAATAAAAAACGACATCAACGCATCACTGGTCAGCTGGTGAAGGCTGCCTGAGTGTGTTTTCTACTGTTGATGACTGTGGTAATTTGGTATCACAAATATGTCATTGGACTCTTGTTAGATGGGGAAAAAGGTTAGTCAGAATAAGTTAAATGAAACTTAGATTAAACTGTTTTCTTGAAGCCTCACTAATGTAGCCTGTGTGGTCGTGTATTGTTCTGTTGGCATGCAGGGATGAAACCAAAAACTGTTGACTGAAGGACTTTGTGTATTGTAGTAAGTTTGCCCGCAATTGGTGTTTGTTAAGAATTATTCCTTTCTATATCCTTCCAATTCCACTACCCACCAACTGGCTTGAAAAACACAGTGCATAATGCTCACCATAACATCACAATACATGTTATCTTTCCTATTGTTTTTCATATAGTTTTTTTGGCCACATAATATGAAACAACCATAAGCATGTGGACCATTTTCAAGAAAACAGAGTAATATCCATGGTGGCGATGTGCAGATTATTTCTTAATTTGAGTGTGTTGTGCTATATCTACTGCAATCTGAAAATGGTTATACAGAAGGGTCACAGATTCAGGGCTAGAGTGGTGACCTGGCTTCCAGGATTTGGCCTGTCAATCACGTTACTTGTTGTTGTCTTCTCTGAATTAGTCTGCTGATTAGCAGTCTGCTGAGCAATGTTCATCATCTTCTTTTTGAATGGGTGCTTATACAGAATTTCATCAACTGCTTTTGGCAATTTAATTAAATTCAGGTACCAAACACTGAGCACCTGGTATGTGTTTACAGAATCACATGGTTTTCATGTGGAGTTATTTTTTATCCGAAGGAACTGTTTCACTGAAATTATTGAAAATTTACCTTCTTAGAATTTAAAATAGAAATAACATCAAGAACTGCAATGCCCTCAATTCACTGATTCAGTTGTGACCACCGTTTGTTGTGTAACAGTCAATTGGAATTATGCCTGGGGAATGCACAAAACTGCTACTGTAGGTAGGCAAAAAATTGAGAAACCCTAAAAAAAAATGTAACCATAAAACCATGTTAGGTAGGCCCTCTAATATGGCTAAGGTTTTACTGAATAAAACATTTTTTTCAGTATTCTTAATAATTTTTCAGGATTTTCTTGAACTGAGATTATCAGTATTTAATTGCTGCATTCAAGAATACCCTCTTTTTTAAAATCAAAGTGAGTATAAAGGCCATCGCCATCTTTTGACAATCAAGTCCATAGTGTAAATTGTATTCAAGTGAAAAGATACAAAGCTTAATAAAGAACTACTAAAGTTGAGCATTACATAATTTGTAACAAAATTCAAATACACAGTCAATTAATTTGAAATATTTATACTTTTTCATTTCAAATGCCAATTTCTTTCAAACACTACTAGTGGTGGATTAAGGTGATCAGAGGCCCCTAGGCTACACGTTTGTAGCCAGCCCTACTATAATACTATAATAATTTAGTGAAGTGTTCGGAGTAAGAGCCTGCTACTGTCGATTCAAACAGAATATGACGCTGAACAAACAGGGAACACGCACACACACTACTATAGCCTGTAATGTAAGTACAGCAATGCAACCAGTAAATGAGATTCACAGCCAATCTACGAGCTGGCTTGTCATCATGATTGGCGTTGATGTAGTCTGCACCCAGGCTAGAGCTAGCTACGGCTAGCTGTTATACTGTAGCACTGGCTATAATGTTAGCCATAAACACTGGGGTCGGGGTCTGGCTCTGGCTTACTGGATGACAATCCAGCAGGCTAAAAATAACCAGTCAATCTGGGGACTTTTTAAGTAAATCCTTCTTATGCTGTCATTTTAAACACTGTGTTTTTTGTTTTTGCTCCCCACTATCAGATTGTAACCAATATCGCCGACATACAGGTTGTACCAACCAGTTGCAGCGCAGTGTCGGCACCACCCTCTACTCCCCTTCACATAACAGGGAGGTTGGCCACCTGAGCTGAGGAAGGTCTTCTTTAGCTCAGCTGGCAATACCCCTGTTGAGCAATGCTGGTGACCCGGGTTCGAGCCTATGTGGTGAGGGACAAACTGAGGCAGGAGCAGTGAGGGCACAAGCCTGAGAACCTGGACTCGCTAGCTTCTTTTTGGTATATTTTCTCGATATTTCTATCACACATTTTGATGCTAGCCACAAAAATAATGGCCAGTCAGGGGCTCCTGATCATCCTGGGCCCCTAGGCTACAGTCTATGCCAGTCTGTTCGTTAATCTGCCCCTGGTCAATGAGCACTACCTGGTTTACTGCAGCCATTTTCCTTACCTTAAGCATAAGCTTGCGGGAAGCAGTTATCTTGGATTTTCTCTGAAAAATAAGTTTTAAAAAATCATCTTTAATATTATGAATTTTACTGGATCTCCTCTTCTGTGATCTTTATCAAGCATCTATGAAAAATAAATGCTGAAAACATACAAAGTTCACTGCAGATTTTCCTTTTTCTTGCAGTTCAGATGGTTTTACTGTGAGGTTTTTGTTCTCAAAGTAAGAATCTTATTTTTAATATTTAAAATGAAATGAAAATATTTGCATGAAAATCTTTCAGAACAAAAATATGTATTAATCTGTATTTAATAAGAGTGCAGGAACTCTGCTCTCTATCAAAAATGAATGCTATATTTAATTAGAGGCAGAAAAAAAGATTCATATTAAATTTAACTTACCTCTTGTCTGTAAAAAAAGAAGAGAAAATGGATGAATAATTTGTAAACAAAAACATAAATGAAATAAACAAAAAAAATATAAAAACATGCAGGTAGCAAATGTCAAAAGTTGATATACACAGGTGGCAAGGAACATCTGTAAGTTAAATAATACTCACGCTTGCTCCGGCATCTTGGCTCAAAATGACTCAACCTACAAGACAAAACAAAATTGTTTTGATAATGCACCTGTGACTGATGACAAAATCTTGTATTATTTTTCTTGGTGTTAAGTGTAACAGCTGATGAAATTTGTGTTTTCACAGAAATGGCAAAATAAAAAAATCGACATTTATTACCTAACATTAAAAGAAGGATCAGTAGGGCGGCAATAAGTGTTGAGTCTGGTCAGAATCACTAAAAAAGATTCATATACCTCAATATACATTTTCATTGATATGTTCTATATAAATATTCGAAAGATATATTCTTAAGGAACCTTTCAAGATTAAGTGTCCCAATGAGGTCAAATTAAGACAGATCAAGTTAATATTGTTTACTACGTTTCGTTTGACATCATTTTTAGGTAAAAAATATAATCAATGAAATGGCAGTGTTCTCATATGTGTTCTGTAGCATGTAAAATGTACATAGAAAAAGGTGAAAAAAGATAAATCAAGTTATATCTCTGACTATCCTAATTTAAGATTACATTCCCATCAATGTACATTCTATAGAATGAAGTGCATCATACACGTAATATGGAATATTATCAATATATAAAGATAACACTAGTATAAAGAAGTCTATGAAACAGCATAGCTAGTAATGTAACAGTATCCTAAACATTTTTCCCATTACCAAACATACCTATTTTTAAAATTCAGTTCAGTCTCCAAGGCAAATTAGGAGTTATTTTGCATTTTTTTTCATAAAAGAATCACATTGGAATATAACCAATATTTTAATTTACAATTGAACCTAATCAGTCAGCCCGGACTTTAAAAAAAGAACCTGTGTAAAAAGTTAAAGCTATCTTGAGGGCAAACTTGGCATTTAATGGATTAACTCTGCTCTCAGGTCAGTCATTGGCAACTGCTTGTGAAGACTGAGCCTAGCTTAGAAGATAAGCGTGGCTTCTGGTTCATTTCTCTGGAACACTTGATTGTAGTGACAATGCACCCAAAAAAGAAGCTGATACTGCAGTAGACAAATGGGGGTAGGATGACAGACTGATTCAAGCATTTAGACAATTTCAGCTACATAGCAAGGCCTGGTTTCTCTAAAGGATTAGTCTGCAGATGGGAATTCCACAGCTGTCAAGAGGCAAAGCTCTACAAATAACCAGGTTATTTAAAAGCCTTTTCTTCACATTTTCTTTAGGGCATCCCTTTCTGGGTCAAAGCTTTGATATGCAGAAAATAATAAGAGATTTTCATTTGTAATTTTTACCTAAATAATAGTGCTTTGCCACTTATCATTGCAGTGTAATTCGATTATATCAAATATCACTGTAAAATAACTATAATGCAGATTCACTTTTGATCTTTTTGGTTACATCGCTTAAAATCAGATATTGCATGTTACAAAAATGCATGATGGGACAAACAAAACCTCTTATAGCGGCAAATACCAAATTTATGTTATTGTGGGATAAATTAAAGTGTTTAGCAATCAAAATTGACAATTGTAAGATAAGCACCCTTATACTGAAGATAAAAGACAGGGTCCAATTATTAATTTGTCAGATTTTTTTTTTTAATTCAGCTGTCCCCTTACAGATTGTATTAAAGACTGTAATCTTTTATAGCATTCTGTGCTGTTTGATTCTTCCAGGAAAAATGTTTTTGCAAAAACATTTCCTTCAGTGATTCCCATTCTTAAGTTAGTATCAACATTGTAATGAAAATATTTTGAAACTATTTTGCATTGACAAAAAATATGTTCTATTTTTTTACTTCAATCAAACAGCTAATTGGCATGATATAAAAATTAAAGTTAGACAAAAATATTCAAAGGTTGAGTCCTATAGACAGAGAAAAACAGATGTAATTCATATAAAATTGAGGCTATTATTTAATTAATTATATTTTATACAAAGAGTGATATTTTACTATGAAATTTGGAAATTTATGACAGTATGACACCTTGAAGGAATGGTTGTCCCACTGTATGTTTTTAAAGCATGACTACAATATTAAAACAATCACTTAATAAAATAAACTTCCAAAAACAAAGCTTTCTGACGTTTCTCTCAGGTTAAGTTGAATAAAATAGACGGAGCCTTCAAAAATATAGCCTTCACTCAAGGTATTAACAAAGCCATCCTACCTGTGTCTGGAGTGGATAGGACAGACAGCAGACAGAACAAAGACGCAGGGAAAGAATGCCCCCATCTATTTAACCTCAACTCTCATTGTCAGTCCTGTCTGTCACTGGGCAGTATTAATAGAAACAGCAGCTCCCTTACACTGAAACACTTCAGAAGGGCCTTTGTTATCCAACACCTAAAATGTTCAACTTCCCAGTGCCTCTGGTTTAGGCAAGGCTTGCCTCCGCACACTTGTAACTTTTTGGTTGCATGCTGCCAGAATAAAACACATTTACCTCTTTTTCATATTTAAAATTCCTATGAAATGTCAGAGGGGAAGCATGACACTAGACTTGATGATTCTGGTGATCTGAATTAAACTTTTATAAATATGTATATCAGCAATACTGGAGATATCCTTCGTAATTGTTGTCAACATCCACAATGGTCCTGGTATGTTCACAGTTCAAGTTTATTATCATATGTAGCTGAGTACAATGAAATGCTTCCTTGCATGCTTCCTCACATAATAAATGACAGCACAGGAAGACAAAACAGGAACCTGAAACAATAGCATGTATGCCAACAAAATAATGGAAAGTAGTAGTATAAAATACAAGTAGCAGCAGTATGCATAAACCTACAGTTAGCAACAGTATACATGAGATTAGTACAGAATTCAATAGCCACAGTATACAAGAGTAACGACTATAATCTTCAGCAGTATTCAAATTGCAGCAATATGCAAAAACCAAATAGGGACAGTATTGTGAGTTCAGTGCAAAATCAGTGGGGTGTAAAGTTAGTATAGGAGGATTAAGGATTAACAGGTGGTGTTTAGAAGTCTTATGGCTATGAGAAAGAAACTTTCTTTGAATCTAAAGGCTGGGACTTTTATACTCTTAAATCTTCTGCCAGAAAGAAGAAGAGAGAAAAGTGCATGCTCAAGGTTTTGATCCTTAAATATATTATCCGCAATTCTGAGGCAGTGCATAGTGAAGATGGTCTGAAAGGAGAGGAGTTCTGTACCAGTGATGGCCTGGGCTGTCTCCACCACCTCCTGTAGTTTTTTAGGGTTGTGAGCTGAACAATTACCATACCACACTGTAACGTATTCAGTGAGAATAATTTCTACAGTGCATCTGTAGAAATTTGTAAGTGTTTGTGAAGACATACCTAATCTAAGGAAGTAAAGGCGCTGGTGTGTTCACATGATTACCTCATCTACAGTATATGATAGCTCATGGTCAAATTAATGGTGACATGAATACCCAGAAACTGCTGACCATCTCCACAGGAGCCCCTTTGATATAATGAGGGCTGTGGACTGTTTCCTGAAATAAACAGCCAGCTCCTTAGTTTTGCTGACATTGTGGGAGTGGTTGTTGTCCTGGCACCATACCAGCAGCTATTTAACCTCTTTCCTGTACTCCATTTCATCATTGTTTGTGCTCAAGCTTACAATGTTGGAATCGTCAGCAAACTTAAAGATGGGGTTGGAGGTGTGTCTAGCCACACACTTGTGGGTGAACAGGGAGTAGAGCAGAGAACTGAGATCCCAGCCCTGTGTTAAGGATCATCGACTCTCAAGGATAAAGGTCTACCCGTAAGGAAATCCAGGATCCAGTTACAGAGAGAAGTACCAAAAAGTCCAAAAGCTTGCTGACTTTTTCAATTATGGATGGGATTATAGTATGAAATGCAGAACTATAATTTATAAATAGTAATCTGGCATAGGTGCTTATATTGTCTAAATGAGCCAAAGCAGCGTATAATGCAAGGGCATTATTTTGATATGCAAACTGAAGTGGTTCTCGATTGTCTGTGAAGCCAGTATTAATGTGCACCATTACCAGCCTGTTCTTTAGAAAACAGTGACACTATTTTCTTACAATTGATTACAATGTGAATCCAATTGTGTCATTAACTAAATTATATAAGGCAATTAGCATAGCAAAAAATGCATAAACATGCATCATATATGCATTTTTGGTAGACAGCAAGTGTGTTGCATTTACTAGAGTATTGTTCAGTTGGTGCACATTTGGTAAAAATACTGGGTTACAGTGGATCTAGAACCCATGGACTAGAATGGGTCAATGCACCTCTTTAACACCTTTAGAGAAGAAATTTATATTTTCTGTGATAAATTTCATGTATAATCATTCTCTTGAGCAAAGCCTTTCAGTTTCCCTTCAAATCTGAAGTTTTCATCTTAAATGCACTTGTACTACAAGTTGTATACATTTGAGATAGGATTCTAAACAAGTGATGTCTGCCTTACATACTGTACTGTACGTAACTGTACTTACACAGACAAATGATAATTATTTTGTATTGTTCTGTGTGAATAAGAAAAACAGAAGTGTGTTTAATCCACCTGCATTTTTTACTGAAAAATATAATAAAAAGCTTAGTTTCTTCCTTCTGTTTAATTGCTTTTTTACTCCAGTTTTATCCTCCCACAATCACTGTCGATGTCTAATTGTCCTTACCCAAAAATCTAGTGTCCAGTTACAAAGCAGAAGAATTGTTTATTTTTTATCAGATAGTTGCACTTCAATTTGTATGAAATACTAACTGAACATTTTCTTTCATTTTGGAAAAGCAGAGTTTATTTCTTTTTATTTTTTATTTATTTTTTATTTATTTTGGAATGATCAGACATTGACTTATTAAATTCCTTGGTTTTTCTACACTTTATTTCCTATTACATCAAGGATATGACTAAATCTATATACTACTATATGTTTGCATATAACAGGGGATGTTAATCCTTAGTACTCCTTAGAAATCGAATTAATCATTAGGTTCCAAAAGATAAGGGTTTAATATTGTCATTTGTATTGTCTTGGTTTTGCATATTGCATCCTGGCTTTAGCTTTCTGTCTCCCAGTGTTGGGCAGTTGTTTGGAAGAGTAGTTAGGGTTCTGTACAAGAGGATTAAAAATAGTGTATTTTACCTTCTACAAACAGTTAACTTATTGGGTTTGCTTTCAAAAAAGTTTAATCATTTTTACTCTCTTTGGTTCACTTGCCTCAGAAGAAGCTAAACTGGCCACACCACCAGCTGCACCAGGCCTTTCAGGCTTTGATCCTCAGGGCCCTCATGCCTGCTGATTTCCACCCCAGCCGAGCTCTCACTTAGTTTTACATTTTCAGGAAGGACAAAGGAGGTGGTGGGGTGAAGCAATATATTAAAAATAACGTGCAAGCTACTGTATAGAATAGAAGCAAACAGGTTGTTTAGAATCTGTGTGGGTTAATTTGGAAAAAGAATATTAGTCTTAAGGTTCCACTTTCCACACATAAATTTGCATTTTGTGACAGAAAATAAAGAACCTGAAATTGTCAACAATTTCAGCTAATAGGGTTAATAATTCTTCGTAGACCAATCTGTGAACTCTCTAACTAGGAAATATACTTATTGACGTAATCTTTTCAAACAACCAGGAATTCATTAAAGGGTTATAGACCTACTGACAAATTGTGACCATAGTACTGTATACTTTCATTCTCTGACACTCAAGGCAGATAATAGTTTTTCTAATTTTAGAAAAGGAGACTTTCAGACTGTGAGGGAAGAAGAAAGAAGAAAGAAGAAAGAAACTGTAAACTGAAAGCAATGATCTGCAAACAGATACAGTTTACAGCTGTATATACTGGATGCACCGGGAAATGTATAACATCTTTCCAGTATTACACAAGTATAGATATGTAGAAGCTGGATTTAATAGTTTATAAGATAATAAGGGATTAAGATGAAGATGTCAAAAATATAGTAAACATGCTACATTTATATTTCAACAGAAAACACCAATAGCATCCTGCTGAAATGTTGTAGAACAAGACATGGTAATGGATAATGTTAACTTCATTGACACTGGGGTTCTACAAGGACAAAAGCGGCAAATAATAAATCACCAAGAACGGATTAGATTTTCCCAGTCAGGCTCAAGGAAATGAAGGATGTTGTCCATAGACGCAATGGTAAGAGATTACATCTCTCACTTAATCATTTACAATGGAGGTAGTACCTACAGATTGCAGAATTTAACTTCTACATGTTGGAGATTTTAAGAGCTGCAGGCTTCACCACTTCTTAAAAAAAGATAATTTTAACAAGGAAATTATGGATCAGTCAGTCTTACTTCTGTCACTTCTGTCCAGCTTGGACAAGTATTTGCCAACTGAGACCTTACACATTTAATATTTAGTTATTCCCCCTTTTTCAGCAATTACAGCCTCATGTCTCTTGGAGTATGTCGTAACCATCTTTTCACATCTCACCCACTCTTCCTTGTAAAATTGCTCCCAATTACTGTGGTAGCAGTGGTGTACTTTCAGTCCCTGTCACAGTATTTCTATTGGATTTAAGTGTGGATTTTGACTGGGCCACTCAAGGACCTCCACTTTCTTCTTTTTAAACAATTTCAAGGGTTGCTTCGGATTTTGGTGTTTGGGTTAATTGTCTTGTTGAAATATGACTCTCTATTCCAGTTTCAGATCTTTTGCAGACTGTTCCTGTTTTTGCTCCAGGATCTACTTGCTATTGCTATATTTTGCTCCATCAATTCTTCCCTTCATTTTGACAAGCCTACCAGTCCCTGCCAATGAAAAGCCACCCCACAACATTATGTTGTCACTGCCGTGCCTCAGGGAAGGAATGGTGTTTTGTAAGTAATGTGCTCTTCTATCACTAGACATAAGGCTTGACATTATGGCCAAATAACTCAAATTCAGTCTCATAAGATCGTTTTTCCCCCCACATCATTTCCAAGGTTCCTACCGTATATGCCTTTTTGCATATTCAAAGTGGGACTTCATGTGTTTTTTTCTAATACGGCTTCCTCTTCGCCACTCTAACATACAGCCCAGATTTGTAGAAGCTATTGTTGATTCACTTTTTCCCATCTCAATTATAACACGTTGTACTGTAGGTCTTCAAAGGGTTGTTTTTAGCTTCTTGACTGCTTCTCTGACCAATGAACTTCGTTCCTGGCTGCTGAGTTTTGAAGGTCGTTGAAGATTCTGAGTAGTCTTATGAGTAGTTAACTGAGTAGTCCACCACTTTCAGATAATGGATTTGA